GACAAGTGACATCTCAAGACTTAGGACAAGTGACTTCTCAAGACTTAGGACAAGTGACTTCTCAAGACTTGGGAAAAATGACTTCTCAAGAGTTAGGACAAGAGACTTCTCAAGACCTGGGACAAGTGACTTCTTAAGACCTGGGACGAGTGACTTTTAAAGGCCTGGGACAAGTGACCTCTCAAGACCTGGGACAAGTGACTTCTCAAGAAATGGGACGATTGACTTCTCAAGGTCTGGGACGAGTGAATTCTCAAGGCCTGGGACGAGTGAATTCTCAAGGCTTGGGACGAGTGACTTCTAAAGACGTGGGACAAGTGAATTTTCAAGGCTTGGGAAAAGTGACTTTCCAAGGCTTGGGACATGTGACTTCTCAAGGTTTGGGACAAGTGACATCTCAAGAGTTGGGACAAGTGACTTCTCAAGACTTGGGACAAATGACTTCTCAAGACTTGAAAAGAGTGACTTCTGAAGACTTGGAACATGTGACTTCTCAAGACATGGGACGAGTGACTTCTCAAGGCATGGGACAAGTGACTTCCGAAGGCTTGGGACGAGTGACGTCTCAAGGCTTGGGAGGAGTGATTTCTAAAGAGTGCGGACAAGTGACTTCTCAAGGCTTGGGACGAGTAACTTCATAAGGCTTGGGAAGAGTAAATCCTCAAGGCTTGGGACGTGTGTCTTCTAAAGACCTGGAACAAGTGACTTCTCAAGACCTGGGACAAGTGACTTCTCAACACCTGGACGAATGACTTCTCAAGGACTGTGATAAGTGACTTCACAAGTCCTGGTTCAGGTGACATCTCAATACTTGAGACGAGTGACTTCTCAAAGCTTGGAACAAGTGACTTCTCAAGGCTTGGTACAAGTGACTTCTCAAAACTTGGGACAAGTGCCGCATCAAGACTTGGGACATGAATTCTCAAGTTTTGGGAATGTGATTTCTCAAGACTTGAGACGAGAGACTTCTCAAGGCTTGGGACGAGTGATTTCTCAAGGCTTGGGACGAGTGACTTCTCAAGGCTTGGGTAAAGTGACTTTTCAAGGCTTGGGACAAGTAACTTAACATGAGTTGGGACAAGTGAAGTCTCAAGACTTGTGACAAGTGACTTCTCAGGACTTGGGACAGGTGACTTCCCAAGACTTGAGATGAGAGACTACTCATAGCTTGGAACGAGTGACTTCTCAAGGCTTGGGACGAGTGAATTCTCAAGGCCTGGAACAAGTGAATTTTTAAGACCGGGGACAAGTGACTTCTCAAGACCTGCGACAAGTGAATTCTCAATGCTTGGGACGAGTGAATTTTCAAGGCTTGGGACAAATGAATTCTCAAGGCTTGGAACAAGTGAATTCTCAAGGCTTGGGAAAAGTGACTTCTCAAGACTTGGGACAAATGTATTCTCAAGACTTGGGACAAGTGACATCTCCACGACTTAGGACAAGTGGCTTCTCAACACTTGGGACGAGTGAATTCTCAAGGCTTGGTACGAGTGTCTTCTCAAGGCTTGGAACGAGTGACTTCTCATGGCTTTGGACAAGAGACTTCTCAAGGCATGGGTCAAGTGATTTCTTAAGATTAGGGACAAGTGACATCTCAAAAGTTGGGACAAGTGACTTCTCAAGACTTGGGACAAGTATATTCACAAGACTTGGGACGAGAGGCTTCACAAGGCTTGGGACAAGTGATTTTCAAGACCTGGGACAAGTGACTTCTCAACACTTGTAACAAATATATTCTCAAGACTTTGGACAAGTGACTTCTCACGACTTGGGACAAGTGACTTCTCAAGACTTGGTACAAGTGACTTCTCAAGTCTTGGAACAAGTAAACTCTCAAGGCCTGGGACGAGTGACTTCACAAGGCTTGGGACGAGTGACTTCTAAAAACCTGGGACAACTGACCTCTAAAGACATGGGACAAGTGACTTCCAAAGAAATGGGACGATTGACTTCTCAAGGTCTAGGACGACTGAATTCTCAAGGCCTGGGACGAGTGACTTCTCAAGGCTTGGGACGAGTGAATTCTCAAGGCCTGGAACAATTGAATTTTTAAGACCGGGGACAAGTGACTTCTCAAGACCTGCGACAAGTGAATTCTCAATGCTTGGGACGAGTGAATTTTCAAGGCTTGGGACAAATGAATTCTCAAGGCTTGGAACAAGTGAATTCTCAAGGCTTGGGAAAAGTGACTTCTCAAGACTTGGGACAAATGTATTCTCAAGACTTGGGACAAGTGACATCTCCACGACTTAGGACAAGTGGCTTCTCAACACTTGGGACGAGTGAATTCTCAAGGCTTGGTACGAGTGTCTTCTCAAGGCTTGGAACGAGTGACTTCTCATGGCTTTGGACAAGAGACTTCTCAAGGCATGGGTCAAGTGATTTCTTAAGATTAGGGACAAGTGACATCTCAAAAGTTGGGACAAGTGACTTCTCAAGACTTGGGACAAGTATATTCACAAGACTTGGGACGAGAGGCTTCACAAGGCTTGGGACAAGTGATTTTCAAGACCTGGGACAAGTGACTTCTCAACACTTGTAACAAATATATTCTCAAGACTTTGGACAAGTGACTTCTCACGACTTGGGACAAGTGACTTCTCAAGACTTGGTACAAGTGACTTCTCAAGTCTTGGAACAAGTAAACTCTCAAGGCCTGGGACGAGTGACTTCACAAGGCTTGGGACGAGTGACTTCTAAAAACCTGGGACAACTGACCTCTAAAGACATGGGACAAGTGACTTCCAAAGAAATGGGACGATTGACTTCTCAAGGTCTAGGACGACTGAATTCTCAAGGCCTGGGACGAGTGACTTCTCAAGGCTTGGGACGAGAGACTTCTCAAGACGTGGACAAGTGAATTTTCAAGGCTTGGGAAAAGTGACTTTCCAAGGCTTGAGACATGTGACTTCTCAAGGTTTGGGACAAGTGACATTTCAAGAGTTGGGACAAGTGACTTCTCAACACTTGGAACAAATGACTTCTCAAGACTTGGAACGAGTGACTTCTAAAGACTTCGATCATGTGACTTCTCAAGACATGGGACGAGTGACTTCTCAAGGTTTGGGACGAGTGTCTTCTCAAGGCTTGTGACAGGTGATTTCTCAAGGCTTGGGACTAGAGAATTTTCAAGACTTCGGACAAGTTACTTCTCATTTCCTGGGACAAGTGACTTCTCAAGGTTTGGGACGAGTGTCTTCTCAAGGCTTGTGACAGGTGATTTCTCAAGGCTTGGGACTAGAGAATTTTCAAGACTTCGGACAAGTTACTTCTCATTTCCTGGGACAAGTGACTTCTCAAGACCTGGGACGAGTGACTTTTCAAGGCCTGGGACCAGTGACTTCTCAAGGATTGGGACGAGTGAATTCTCAAGGCTTGGGACTAGAGAATTTTCAAGACTTCGGACAAGTTACTTCTCATTTCCTGGGACAAGTGACTTCTCAAGACTTCGGACGAGAGACTTCTCAAGGCTTGGGACTAGTGACACCTGAAGGCTTGGAACTAGTGACATCTCAAGGCTTGGGAAGAGTAGATTCTTACGGCTTGGGACGAGAGAATTCTGAAGGCTTGGGACGAGTGACTTCTCAAGGTTTGGGACAAGTGACTTCTCAAAACTTGGTGCAAATGTATTCTCAAGACTTGGGACAAGTGATTTCTCACGACTTGGGATAAGTAATTTCTCAAGACTTGGTACAAGAGATTTCTTAAGTCTTGGAACAAGTAACTTCTCAAGGCTTGGGACGAGTGACTTCTCAAGGTTTAAAACAAGTGACTTCTCAAGACTTGGGATAAGTAAAATCTCAAAACTTGGGACAAGTGAATTCTCAATAATTAGGACAACTGACTACTCAAGACTTGAGAAATGAAACTTCTCAAGACTTGGGACTATTGACTTCTCAAGACATCGGACATTTGATTTCTCAAGACTTGGGACAAGTGATTTCTCAAGCATTGGGAAAAGTGAATTCTCAACACTTGGGAAAATTGACTTCTCAAGGCTTCGGACAAATGACTTCTCAAAACTTGGGGCAAGTGAATACTCAAGACATGGGACGAGTGAATACTCAAAGCTTGCGACGAGTGACTTCTCAAGACCTGGGATGGGGGACTTCTCAAGACTTTGGACGAGTGACTTCTCAAGGCTTGGGACGAGTGACTTCTCAAGGCTTGGGTTGAGTGATTTCTAAAGAGTTCGGACAAGTGACTTCTCAAGGCTTGGGACGAGTGACTTCTCAAGGCTTTGGACGAGTGACTTCTTAAGGCTTCGGACGAGCTTCTTCTAAAGAACTGGGACAAGTGACTTCTCAAGACCTAGACGAGTGACTTCTCAAGGACTGGAATAAGTGACTTCACAAATCCTGATTCAAGTGACATCTCAATACTTTGGACGAATGACTTCTCAAGGCATGGAACAAGTGACTTCTCAAGGCTTGGGACAAGTGACATCTCAAAACTTGAGACAAGTGACGCCTCAAGACTTGGGAAAAATGACTTCTCAAGTCTTGGGACAAGTGAATTCTCAAGACTAGGGACGAGAGATTTCTCAAGGCTTGGTGCGAGTGATTTCTGAAGGCTTGGGACGAATGACTTCTCAAGGCTTGGAACGAGTGAATTCTCAAAGCTTGTGTAGAGTGATTTCTCAAGGCTTGGGACAAGTGGGTTCTCAAGACTTGGGACAGATGACATCCCAAGACTTGAGAGAAGAGACTTCTCAAGGCTTGCGACGAGTGACTTCTCAAGGCTTGGAACGAGTGAATTCTCAAGGCCTAGAACAAGTGAATTTTCAAGACCGGGGACAAGTGACTTTCCTAAGACCTGGGACGAGTGAATTCTCATTGCTTGGGACGATTGACTTTTCAAGGCTTGGGACGAGTGACTGCTCAAGGCTTCGAACAAGTGACTTCTCAAGGCTTGGGGAAAGTGACTTCTCAAGACTTGGGACAAATGTCTTCTCATGACTAGGAGACAAGTGATTTCTTCACGACTTAGGACAAGTGGCTTCACAAGACTTGGGCTGAGTGACTTCTCAAGGCTTCGTACGAGTGTTTTTTTCAAGGCTTGGGACGAGTGACTTCTCAAGGCTTGGGACAAGTGACTTCTCAGAGGTATGGGTCAAGTGATTTCTTAAGATTTGGGACAAGTGAATTCACAAGACATGGGACAAGAGGCTTCACAAGGCTTGGGACAAGTGACTTTTCAAGACCTGGGACAAGTGTCTTCTCAAGTCTTGGAACAAGTAACTTCTCAATACCTGAGACGAGTGACTTCTCAAAGCTTGGGACGAGTGACTTCTAAAGACCTGGGACAATTGAAATCTCAAGACCTGGGACAAGTGACTTCTCAAGACTACGGGCGAGTGAATTCACAAGGCCTGGGACGAGTGAATTCGAAAGACCTGAGATAAGTGACCTCTCAAGACCTGGGACAAGTGACTTCTCAAGACTTGGGACGAGTCACTTCTCAAGGCCTGGGACGAGTGAATTCTCAAGGCCTGGGGCGAGTGATTTCTCAAGGTTTGTAGAGTGAATTCTCAAGACGTGGTACAAGTTAATTCTCAAGAAGTGGGATAAGAGACTTCTCATAACTTGGGACAATAGACTTCTCAAGGCTTGGGACACGTGACTTCTCAAGACCTGGGACAAGAACTTCCCTAGACTTGGGACGTGTGACTTCTCAATACTTGGGAAAGTGACTTCTCAAGACTTGGGACAAGAACTTCTCAAGACTTGGGACGAGTGACTTCTCATGACTTGGGACAAGTGACATTTCAAGAGTTGGGACAAAAACTTCTCAAGACTTGGAACGAGTGACTTCTCAAAACTTAAGACAAGAACTTCTCAACACCTAGGACGATTGACTTCTCAAGACTTGGAACAAGGACTTCTCAAGACTTGGGACAAGAACTTCTCAAGACTTGGGACGAGTGACTTCTCA